CCGGGGAGCAGGGCTGGTGGCGGGTGCAGCGGGGCTGGCCATGGAAGAGAGGAGGAGAAGTGGGGGAGAACCAACCAGCCAGCAAGGAGGGAGTTGGGGGAGAAGGAGCGTATCAGCCAGTGGGGAGCGGGACTGATCCAGGCAGTGCAGATCCCAGAGCACTCCCGCCCCCCGCACAGTCCAGGCGAAGTGCGAGTCAGTCTGGCTGCGGCTCCACCACGTGCTTGACCAGCGCACAGGAGCACGGACAGGGCTGCCCCTCCTCCTCACATGCAACCAGGGATCCCAGCACCGATCATGCCCCATCTCCCAGCCACTCCCCCCACCAGGCTTCCCGGTGCCCAGTCGGAAAACCAGAAAATACCGGACATTGCACGTCTGGTATTTTCTGGATTTTTTTACTGGACAGAGCCCCAAAAAACGGGCCTGTTCAGTAGAAAACCAGACACCTGGCAACCCTAAGACATTAGGGTGTGCCTGGGCACACCCGGCACACCCCGTATGCACGCCAGTGGTTGTAGCTCAAATAGAAGTCATGGGCTTGATGCAGGAGTTGCTAGGTGAGAATTTAACTGGACAAGGAGCTATAGTCTCTGTGATGCAGGAAGCCAAATATGATGATCACAATGAGCCCTTCTGGCCTTAAAATCTATGAAATTAGGACTTTAAAGTGACTTCAGCAGCAAGATCAAGGACACTGCCCGAAAGATATTTTTAAAGGGGTTTAGGCATAGGGAGCAGCCTGGTCTGTCATTTTTGATCTTTAGTTGTAATGCCTAGCTAAGGCCTTATCTATACTTATCCAGAGATTGATGCTCTGGAGATCATTTTTTCGGGGTTTGATTTAGCAGGTCTAGTAAGGACCTGCTAAATTGACTGCAGATGGCACTCCCATCAACCCGGTACTCCATGGGGTTGCAAGGAGTAAGGGAAGCTGACAGGAGAGTTTCTCTCTTCAACCTCCCACAGTGGGAATGACGCAGAACTTCTCATAGCTGGAGTTGCGTATCTTCAGTCGATTTTCTCCCTTAGTGTAGACCTGGCTGAGATGTACTAGCACAGTCCTTCCTGTCATTACTCAGCTCCCTCAATAATCCTCTCAGGGGTGCCTGGCCTACCAGAGAGCAACACTGAACCTGCAACATGGCTGCCTCACAACAGGCTTTCAACCTGGAAATCCAAAGAGGGGCTATTCAGCTAGGAAGCCCCTTCCCTTTGCTACATGTAAAAGGTGGGAAATCTCAAGGTGCAGCTGAGAAAAATGAAGTAGGTTAAATCATCTGCTTGAAAGCAGAGGATTTGAAAACTCTCATTAAACCAGTATTTAAGGTTGTTACTTTAAGAGTTGCCGTAGCACTACAACGGCATTGAGAATCAGTCCATAAGATCGAAAAAACATGGACAGTAGCTGAAGCTTCCCCTTGGGGAGGCCAGCCCCCGTGTCTTCTGGCCCTGGGCCCACCTCTGCAGGATGCAGCCCCACTCCCACTCACTGCTCTCAGCCACCCTCCTCCACCCCCAATGACCCTTTGGCCCCTCCCTTGGCCCCAGATGGGATTGAGCTCAGTTTAAAGAGAAGCTGGATAAATTCATGGAGGTTAGGTCCATAAAAGGCTATTAGCCAGGGGACAGAAATGGTGTCCCTGGCCTCTGTTTGTCAGAGGCTGGAGAGGGATGGCAGGAGACAAATCGCTTGATCATTGTCTTCGGTCCACCCCCTGTGGGGCACTTGGTGCTGGCCACTGTCGGCAGACAGGCTATTGGTCTAGATGGACCTTTGGTCTGACCCAGGATGGCCGTTCTTATGTTTATGTTCTTATGCTCACTGGGGACTGTGATATTGCTCTCCAGCCAAGTGTGAAGTGTTGTGCCCCTTCAGATCCCAACCCGCCCATGGCCCCACCCCATTCCACCTTTTTTCTCCATAACACCACCTAGTGCAGCCATGGCCGTGCCCGTCACTCCTTCCCTGCCCCACTGTCCTGAGACTGGAAAAGCTCTGTGCCCCTTCCATGGCTCCAGGGCTGCAACAGGGGGTGAGTTTTCAGGGGGTCCCAAATCCACCACTGCCCCTCCTGCATGGCAGCATGAGGTTTGAGGAGGCTTAGCCTTCCCTGGCGTCCATTACGCACCACCCGTGCCAAAAATTCCAGTAACGTACAAGTAAAATGAGGTTCCTGCACTCTGACTAAAGAGTGGAGCCAAGGCTGTATGAAGGCAAGAGGGCAGTAGAAATTGTTACAGTTTGGGGAAATCAGCTGCTGCCAAACTTCTGAACTTCAGAAAAACTGTAAGTGCTGATACACATTCTGTGTAACTCAAGCCACATGTTTCAGCTCAGCATAGTCAATGGAGGGTGTGTTAATCTGGCTAATGCCAAAATGTAGAAGGGTTGAAGTGACCTTCTCTGATTTACACTTGTGTTTCCAGGGAATCTACAAGAAACAATATGTTCTTCTCATTCTAAATGCAAAGCTGAACCATTAGTAGCATGTGACTCGGTAAAATCACCTGTCCCTATTATACCATAGTATAAAGCATAAGGCCCTATCATTAATGGACTGTTACCTTTCTTTGGCAGATACTTTTTCCAGTGCAATGCAAAAATTCCACTGAGGAGCAAGAGAGCTGACTACAAAGTCTTCGAGTGTGCCAAGGTCACAGAGAGTTTTGCCAGCAAAGCCCGGAGCTTGGTGCCAGTCAAATATGAGATCATTGTGGTTACAGGGTCTGAAAAAGGAGCCGGGACTGATGCCAATGTCTTCATCACCATCTTTGGAAAAAATGGAGATTCGGGCAAACGTGCTCTCAAGCAGAAGTTACGGAACCTCTTTGAACGTGGCAAAACTAATAGGTTTTCTCTGGAAACCCTGGATTTGGGGGAGTTGAAAAAAGTACAGATTGAACACGACAACAGTGGCCTAGCAACCGGTTGGTTAGTGGAAAGGGTGGAGATCACCAATTCAGCTACTGGAGTGACCACGATTTTCCCTTGTGGGAAGTGGCTGGACCAGAATAGAGGAGATGGTTTGATCTCGAGGGAGCTATTTCCAAGATATTAGCAGGGATGCATCTGCAGCTAGTAAAAGGAGCTGCAGCGGGGACATTTATATTAACAGAAAATGGGTTTTTCTTACTCACTTCTTACATCATTTTGTATCATGTTTTACGTTTTAAAATATGGAATTTTATATTGAAAGGATTTCAGTAGGAATGTGTACACCCTGGATTAACATTTTCTAAAAAATAAGCATACTTTTTAAATCTGAATGGACAATGTTTCTGGTCCACTTCTTGTCCATACCAACTCTGCTTACCTCCTGGCTCAAGGGGTGGGAGGACAGGGTTGCTCAGCTACCAAGGCTGGAAATTCCAACTGAGAAGTGGGCTGGATCCCCTAAGTAAAGGAGGTTGTACTAGTGTAACACCCACACGCAGAACCAAACCTGAGGCCTCTGGAGCTTAATACATGAGCCTCCATCACTTAACTAGCTCTCAGCTAAGGCTGTACAGCAAATCGCTCTCGCTCTCGCTCTCGCTCTCTCCTCCCCACTGTCACTAAAAGTCAGCCGCTTCATTTAAATTTACATGGCTGCCGCGCTGAGCCGACAAGCAGCTGATCAGCTGGGTGGTCGACAAATACCTTTGATGTAGACACCCACGCGTCCAGACTATCGCGCTGAGCCGACAAACAG